TCCCGAAGTATAAAAAGTTATAAATTGAAACTTACATTCAACAAACTATTTTTTTATGTTTATGGATTAGTGCCACCATGTTTTAAAAAAACATCACTGTTTCATACCTACCTCCAACAATCCAACTGTTATATTTCATACACATTCTCCAGAATTTAAGGATGACTAGTTGAGGGAAAACACTTATTGCACAACTTTTTCACTATAATGAGCACCAAGCCCATATGATGACTCAGATTTAAAGTCATTAAAAACTATAAACTGTTAATGATTCAGAAGCCAGTTTTCCTGAATGTTGACAGTATGAAACATCCTGTCTTGTGCAACAAGGCTAAAGATCCACATTTTCACCTAAAGGACTGGGAAACACACTCTGCAGAAGTGTCACCTTTCATTGTTCTCACTTGCGATGGTATCAGGTGTACTTTGAACAGGCTTGTGTCTGGCTAAAACTACCCTTGCGCAGGATGGGTGGGGTAATGTGGTGTGTGTAAGGTAAGGTCCCCCGTCACAATACGTGCTCAGACAAAGATCGGGCTTGAATGGAATCCTTTACCTGTAGCTCTGGGGAAAGTGTACACTGAAAATCTACAACAAGACTTCAGTGCCTGTCGAAACCACAATGGAGACAACTAATGACACCACAAAAATCCTGGGGAAAGGTCCTGAATACCTTCGTAAACAAATGGATTTAGAGAGTGAGACAAAAGGACGCATGAGTGCTGTGGAGAGGCTCGCCGCAAGTAAACCAAAATACGTCAAAAGCCAACAGGTGGTTAACTCAACTCAGGAGCCAGTGATTAGCCTTGGATCGGCCTCTGTGAGTAGCACTGGGTCCTCGAACCGAAGCTCACACCGGGATGGGAATCTTCCTACAGGGAGTGACTCGACAGGGAATACACTCACTGTGCAAATCTCTTCACCAGTGCAGGCACATCGCTCCAGCGCCAAAAAACGACCAGACTCTCTTCTAATTTACAGACAGAAATGTGAGTTATTGAGAGGGCCAGCAAATGAACGGAAGCACCATATAACCCGTAAGTTGTTGCTCAACCCTGTAAATAAAAATGCCCCATTATCCGAGGGGACAGATAAGGAATGCGAGTCTCAGGGCAACGGGCGAAAAATCACCACGCCTAAGGAAACAGCAAAGGAATGGAATCCACATGTAGTTATCTCTAAACCGGAGAGCAATGGAGTGACAGAAGAGTGCAGAATCAAGAACAGTGACTCTGGTACAAAACCTAAGGCTGGAGTTGTAAATGCATCTAGTGGTCTCCTGACAGTTCCTGAGGTTGAAAGGACGTCTGGCAAAGGAGTCAGTCGTTCTCACTCTGATATCAGCTCCAGGTATTCCAAAAACTTTGCAGACTTTGATGGTTTTTTCAAGTACTGCGGGCTGGACGGTGAGGTCATTGAGTCTTTGGGGAAGGACAACTTCTCAGCTCGCTCAGATGAAATTGCAATAAAGCTTCGGAGTGTCAGTGTTTCCACGTCAGATGATGGCTTCTCCAGAAACAGTAGTGACAGCGATGCGCTCATGGAGGAAAAGCTGCACGAGAAGATACGTCAAGAGACCTCAGTTATTGAGCGCAACGCACGGATTATCAAGTGGCTGTACAGCTGTAAAAATGCTAGTGACACTGGAAAAAAGTTACGAGATCTTCACTGATTGCGCTTTTTCTTTTTACCAAGATTTGTTACATAAAAGTTATATTTTGAGGACAAAGATGGAAGTAGTTTCTTGTTTTTGATCTTAGAAAACACTGAATGATACCCTACTTGTCCAACTGTACCTAAATCTTAGGTTATGTATTGTGTATGCTGCATGTGTGTGTGTATGTGTCCTTTACTGATGACTTTTCTGAGAGCAAATGATGACTGAAAGATTTCTTTTTTTTTTCTTTTCTTTTTTTTTTACTTGCACAGGACCATCTATGATCTCAATTACACTGGAAACAGATAAAATACGTCATAAAAAGCTATACAAAAACAAAAAGTATTAACATTATTCAGCTTCAACATTTTTAGGATTACTGGCTTATTTAATATAATGCTTTTGCATTCTATTCAGACTCTATAAAAAACATTTCTGTATTAAATATGGTCAAACGTGCATACAAGAAGGCAAGCACTAATTCAAAAGAATTCAGTGAAGTACTGTGATATGAAGCAAAAACATACTAGTATGAACTAGTTTGGGATTATTTTATTTTTCTATAAAAATAAAATACTTTTAAGTTCAGTGATTTTGGTTGTGAGCCTTTTTAAAGTAAATGGGCCACAGTCATATAGAATTACATTCTTTATAAAAGCTATACTGTATTTTTATGCAACTATAATTTAAAGCTTTTGAAAATGTACAAAATTTGTCAACATGACATACTTCCTGCTAATGATAAATCAACATCTAACAATGCTGCAGCAATTCTAGCTGTAGCTTTTTGATGAGTTGTCATCAATGTTACATAATTCATCTACAAAACATTAGTGCATTTATTTATTATTCATTAAAATGCAATTATTTTATACGATCGCTTATAAAATGTACTATTTGTAAAGAGTGGTACTATTATTTTAAGATAAAAGGCTCACAGCTCATGGCCTTTTGATTCTTCCCAGGAACATTAAAAGGAGTCTCACACTGATGCTCATAAATTCTGCTCCTCTGCGAATACCTTTAGGCCACCTCAAACATGAAAGCATCCCTAAATCAGAATTTGTACAACCTGCCTTTTAAGTTTATAATCCAATAATGTGCACTACCATTTCTCTCAGGGTGAAAGGTATACATTCCATCACACCAACACACATGAAGACACACACACCCACACACAACCTGGAGACTTACTCTGAGTTTACCCATAACTACTGCCTGCCAAACTCTGACCATAACATATCCTAATGTTAAAAGATAGCTTTAATAAATAAATTTGAATGATTTAGATCATGAGGATTTGTTTCCTTGTCCACATACAAAAAAATGTGCATGTAAGTGTGTAAACAAATTTAGGTCACCACAACAAGTGTAATACCTGCCACCCCACAGACACTCAAATACAAACCACAGCAACTGATACAAAAACATTTACATATGGAAGATCTGCTTATATTTAACAGATGTATGAAAAAAACATTTGAGGAAGTGGTTATTTTCCTCGCAAACTTTCCCTTAGATCTGTTAGGGGAATGTGCTTAATAATCTGATCGGCTTATGTCCAGTGACCCGTTGTCGTTGTATCTCTCTCCCAAGCTCCGTCTGCTTTGTCTCTTCATTGCTTTCTCTCTCTTTTTGTCTTTTAGCCAAGTTTTCTTTTTATTCTTTGAAGCTCAGTGGCTGAACATGAGCTGGGGGAAAGCAATGGAAGGACTGGGAAGGACTGTGCTTGACGCAGTATGTTAAACGGTATTACCACCTATTCAGTTTCACTCATTGTCTTCTTACAGAGAAAGAAACAAACAATATACAAGCTTATGTGAGGGGGCACAAAGTAGTTAGCTGGTGCAGACACACCTTTCACTTCTCCAAATGCCTGACTGACTGTTTAGTACAAGCCTCCACTTGTCGGTTGCCAAAAGTAGAGGTTACCTGTTGATAATGATAGTCATCAATATGTGATTATTGATTGTGAATGTGAACTCACTATTGCTACAAGTTTGCATTTAATTTTGTTTTTTATATGTAAAGTTAAAAAAATTTGTACTCCTAGATAATTTGTATATCTTTACCACCTTTTGCCCAGCTGCTGAAAATGTAAAACACAAATAAAACTGTTTTTACAAGTAAAATGTTGTATGAGTATACTCACAGTGGGTAACCACCCAGGGTGAAAATATTGTCTTTGAATTACTCCCCTGCGACCATGATAAGCGGAAGGGGATGGATAGACGGATGGATTGATGTTAAATTACTTACTCTTTTAATAATAATAGATTGCATTTCTATAGCGCTTTTCAGGACCCCTCAAAGCGCTTTACAACACCACTATTCATTCACTCTCACACAGACTGACAGAGGCGAGGCTGCCATATTGCACCATCGACCCTTCTGGCCATCACCAGTAGGTGAAGTGACACAACAACTGAGACTGTCCGAGCCAGGGCTCGAACCGGCAACCTTCCAATTACAAGAGAAACACACAACTCTTGAGCCACGATCACCTTACTCTTTTATCAGTTGTTCTGTTGGTTATGAGAATTATCAATTACCTATACACTGCCACTTCATCAGTTACACATTGCTAACACTGGGTTACCTTCAGAGCTGCCTTAATTCTTCTTGGTGATGTGATATCATTATTTTTTATCATATCATTACATTACATTGCTGCTGATTTTTCAGCTGAAGATCAATTATGAGAATCTCCTGCTCCACCACATGCCAAAGGTACTCTAGGTATAACAGTACACCAGTATTAAATTAACTATTACTAAAATAATTATCATACTTCTCAGCAAAACTGTGTTAAAAAATGTTATGCATGTGCTTCTACTGCTCATGGAAGAAAAAAAACACTCTAATCTTTTATTTTTTTTATTTTTTCTAGTTGACTTCTAAAATATAGAAAAGACAGCAGATTTTTAGAATGCAATAAAAATATTAAAAACAGAACATTTTTATAATTTCTGATGCAGACAGACGTCACTGTTCAGGATACCCAGCATCAACATACTGGTCCAGATGTTTCTGCTCCCACTGAAATTCTGTTCAGTTTCCTCACTGTATTAAAATACTTTAAAAATCATTTTAATGTTAGTTATAAATGAAAATATGCTTTTTTAAACAAGTAAAAAAAAACCTGTGAACATCAGGAAATAAAGAAAACAATTCAGTTCAAAATATGCTGACAGCACTCACAAAGTGAGGCATTAAGGCTCACTAAAACTATCCAGTTATGAGGCTTGACTTTAATCTCCGCCAAACCAATTTAATTTGCAACAAATAAAACACTGAAATAAATTTAGTGTATCCCATGTAACCCCTCCACTGAGAGGTTAGGATCAGCAAGTATTCTGAAAACAGTGTGCTGGGCACAGGATGTTCTTGGCAGGTATCATGAGCTTGGACTGCCCGGTCAGCAAATAGCTGGTAAAGAGAGCCGGCTGTTACACCCGCGAGACCTCACATTCCTGACAATGTTGAAGCACTTTTGTTAATAGGTCCAATCTAAGCAGCCAGATGTGTGACATTGTGAACAGAGGCTGTGGTTTACGACACCAACTGTCTGCCATCTATAATCCAGTTTTGAGTTCCCTCCCCAGACGCCTTAACGCCCACTCAAATCCTGGGCCATCTGACCTCAGGAAATTGCATGATAAGGTGGGGCCAGGTTTCACAATGAGCTCACCCGAAACCCTGGCTGATTGGGACCCACACCCATTTTCACACGTTGGCTCATGTGATTAGAGGATCATCAGGGGGTCCTTTTGTCCCTCTTTGGGGGGATACTCCCACTAGGTTTAAATCTGGGACTCTCCGCCATTTGACCTTAGAACTGAAGAAGCTTCTCGGATGAGAGGTGAAACGTCTTCAAGCAACTTAAAGAAGTCCATACGTTTTTCTTTGCAAGCTCTTTTGACTAACTAGTCAGTTGTTATGGACTGTTGACGACGCATTAAGTGACATTATTTTAGCTCAGAAACTATGAAATAATTAAAAAGGGAAATAATAAAATATATTTTTAACTAAAATGAATTGATATTTTAATTAGTTAACAACATTAATTTTTAACATTATGCATTTAATAAATATATATATTTCCAATTTTAATTAATAATGACAGATTTAAGTACTTACGGTGTTTATTGAATTAATTATTCATTAGCAATTTTAATCAACTAAGGACACGTTTAATTATTGACATTTGATTTTTTTCAAGGAGAGGGTAGAGCTGGGTGAATGGGTGGGTGCTTTCACTCCTGCCACTGGCACTGTTATGTGATTTTACATTGACATGATGGCCAAATAGGTCCTGCAAGATTGGGTATGAAGGGGTTGTTCAGGTGGTTGCATTCTCCAAGCTTTACCACTAGATGACACTAAATTACACACACAAAATACATAAATGAATACGTATTAAATTCACATTTTAACCACAAAGAACCCCCACTGCAAACCATATAGGACATTAGACTGTATTTTTAAGCTCAAACAGGTGACGTGACAATAACAAGAAAATTTTTTGAGAGCCGGTGTACAATGAGTCAGGGCTGTTGAATCCGTACAAAACTTTGAAAGAAACATGTTCAAACGGGGTGTCGTTTTTGGACATCCGAAATAGCTGCATTTTTTTTTTAATTTGCATATACAGGCACAGTATTCAATTGACCTTGCTCTGAACGACTTGCGACTTAAATTCAAGAGAATAACGTCATGTGAAACAATCAAAAGTAAACTTATCTTTTCACATCCAGTTTGCAGCTTTACGCCATGCACATCAAAGCAGAGTAATGAAACTGTGACCTAGATAACGTGTCATAAAATATAAGGCTTAAACTTAAACCATACAACTGATGTGAAAAAACAGTGGGTGGGGTGAGAAAATAGTTATTTATTCAAGCTAAGTCTTTAAAGCGTTTCATAACATTTTTCAGCATCAGTCAGTCAGTCACTCAACGCTCCAGCAGACCAGTTACCATCCCCCATCTCAAAATCAAAACACAAGTACATGTGTGCAGTCCGCTGTCACGTGTCGAAGAAAGCCCCCAACAAAACAAATAGGATTAAAAAAAAAGCTGTTGAGTGACAGGAGTGATTATCCAATCGGCCTCCCGAATCTGGGTAGCAACAAGATAACTACAGACCCTTTGACCAATCAGAGAGCAGTAGGGGGCGTGAATTGACGAATTCTCGCGCTTACTTCCGTCAATATTTCCAGCTCCGCAGGAGGGGAAGGCTAGAGACGGAAGCAGATACGGGCAAAACAACAGAAGAGCTGCTTCTCTTTAACGGTTTGTTTGGCC